AAGGGCAGCATAGGCACTGCACACCAACCAATGGTAGAGATGAAAACAACGGTACCCCGCTCAGAAGCGGCTCCACAGCCCTGTCAATGATCCAGTCTCCTGCAGCAGGCTCCCCAAGTGACTCATTGCACCTCTTCCGACTCCCCATGCTGGGGTTTCAGCCCAAAAGCTTCTTCATCTCAGTTACTGTTCTACTTCACTCATATTCTACAAATTCATGTCGGTTCTGGCTTTGCTTTGTTGGTGAAGACCGAAGCATTCTGATGCCCTAACAGGCTGTTTACCACATTCTTCCCATGCTTCTATCTTTGTGTCTAATTTAGACAAATGTCCAAATCTATGTGGCTTTTCTCATGGTTTATACCAACAAATAACCCGTTCACACACATATAATGCACATAACATACATAGAAAACTATAGCAAACATACTTGCATAAAATTGAGATAAAGAACTTCACAAAGGTGTTTGTACTTCTAAATTCATATTTTAAGTGATTATGTGTATGTATTTTGAAAGCATTAATAGTGGCATAGCTTAAGAGATCTGGGAGCATCATAGCAACAAACAGAATGGTCATTAACTTTTTAAACGGTCCCTGTGTATCTTCTACTGCTGTTGCTGTTCAATGCCGTCCAGTTGGAATCGACTCATAGCTGACCCTCCAGGGGGTTTTCAGAGGCAATTAATCAAACAGGAGATTGACCATCTTTCTGGCAAAGAGCAGCTTGTGCATTCTGAATCCTGTGCTTTAAGCTAGCAGCACAGCTCCTTGTCACGAGGCTACCAGAGCTCCCCCTTATACTACTGTTGTTATATGCAGCCTGACTTGCCTGCAACTCACAGCAACCCTATGTACAAGAGCTCTGAACCCTGCCCTATCCTGAGCCAATCTGTCTCTGATATACTTGCCCCCAGGGCCCCAGTCACTGTGTCAGTCCACCTCATCCAGAGTCTTCCTCTCCTGCGCTGTTCCTCCACAGTTCCAAGCACTATGTTCTTCTCCAAAGACCGGTACCTCCTGGCCACATGCCCAAAGTATGTGAATCAGAGTCTCAAAATCCTTGCCTCCAAAGAGCAGCTTGATTTCACCCTCTCCAGGACAGACCTGTTTGTTCTCTTGGCAGTACATGGTATGTTCAAGATTCTTCTCCAGAACCACAACTGAAAGGCATCAGTTCTTCTTCTGTCATCCTTAGTCACTGTCCAGCTCTCTGATGCATAGCAAGTAATTGCAAAGATTATAGCCTGGATCAGGTGCACCATAGTCTCTAGACTGACAAAGTTGCTCTTAGCCCTACGGAGAGGTCCCTGACAGATTTTCGCAACCAGAGGTCTCAAATCCGTTAGGAGTGGACGCTGTGTATGAGGAGGGACTTGCTGGAGTCCTCAGTGGCAGAGCAAAGAGCTGGAGCGGAATCAGCAATAGGTCAGAGGCAATGGAGCCTTGCTTATGATAGGTGGCTGGCTGTGTATGTCAAGTACATTGCAACTTCTGCTTCTGAAGTATTTCAAGCCGATCCCCCTGACCCCACCATCACCAATGGTCTTTCTTTGAAGCCACAAGGCAAGCAACTGCTTTATTTTTAAATAAACACCTACACATGCAGGCCTACTTAACAAAAGTTTACTCTTACAGGATGTGAAGAGAGAGAGAAGCCAATTAAAAAAGACAGCAAGATATTAGAGAATTCATTATTAATTTAATCAGGACATAGTCAAGTGACATTATGAACATTTTTTAATGACATCAGGTGGCAAATTTATACAAATCATAGGCTTGAATATAATTAATACAAAATCCATTCAGATACAATTAGAAAAGCATCATTTACAAAGGTAGATCAGATCCAAGAGGTTAAAGAACGTAAGCCCCCCAATTTTGCTAATTATACCCAGCTCTAAATACAGCACATCTACTCTGCCTACCCCAGTCAGGGCGCTATTCCTAAGTAGACAGCATAATTAATGACTAGCGATTTCAAGTTCCTAACACTTTCAGCATCAATGTCAAGCCATCTCATAACAGGTATACTATGCAAAACTCAAAAGATTATGTGAAGGTTCTTTGCAAACTGTAAGGTGCTGTGCAGATGTTGTTAGCTATTGCTATCATTTCTGGTCAGTGAAGTTTCACTGAACTGACTTGGGGGAAAAGGAACCCTAATCTGTATAACTGACATATATGACACATAGAATATCCTCAAAAGAATGCAGACCGAAGTTCAAGTACCTGGAGCAACAGATTAGGCAGGGAAGGAGGAGAGGAATTCCAGACAGCTTAGAGAATTGTATAAAGGATTATGTCATTTACAGATTATATGTAATTTTTATCTTTAACTTCCTAAAACTCCCAAAAGGGCTTTATTGTTTTTAAGGTGATCTTTCTCCTCTGCAAAAAAAGAAAAAAGGAAGAAAAAAAAAGAAGAAATCTTGTTGAGTTACCAATCTTGTTACCAATATGCTGTGTCTACCCAGCTCATCACCTAAGTCCAGGAGTCAAGTCTGTCGACTACAAAGCCCTTGACAGCTGAGAATTCTGCTGCTGACTGCTGACTTCTATCAAGGGGACCCAACAACAGCCTGCAACTTCACTGGAGCATGAGGTCATAAACATGCACCTGTCTGGTGACTACAAATACATACCAGGTGAGTTCACACCATGGTATCGCTCCAGTGCTTCATGCACCTTTGGCTTCCATCTTTCTTTCAGTCTACCGTCTCTGTTTCACTGTCTTTCTCAACTCCCTCGGGTCATTAGCAATTGGCAGAACTCTGTATGGAAATGGAAGCTCAATCCTAGGCTGATAAGCTTTCAGTGATGAAAAGATTGCCGTATTAATTAGTGCTGTGTTTCTGTTAGCTTCCCACAAAGCACAGAAAGGTTTTTTTAATCGAGGTCTACATTTCCTCAGTAATAACTCAACCCTAAATTCTATTATCACATGTAAACTGGCATCCATTTGAAGAGCTAATGACAATAGATGCATTCAGCAGCAGACTTCATTTTTCAGCACAATAGGGGTGGGGTGGGGGAATAAAAAAAGAGAGGAAAGTATGGCTCCAGTGAAGTTAGCACTTCCAGAGTCAGGCTATTCTTTACTATCATTTATCAAACAACAGTGAGCCTGGTTCTCATTTAAAACATTTATAAGGACTCAAACTATAGCTTCCCCGTCTAGACATCATGAAGTTTGAATGTTGTGCAAAAGCAAACCTCTGAAACATCTTGAAAAAGACATTTTTAAAATATTATGTACTATTTCATATAGGCAGGAATAGCAGCAAACTAGTGAGTTAACAGTTAAAACTCTAAGGGAAAACGAACTCATTTGAAAGCTAACCTACTCAGCAGTAAATAAGTTCCTTGAGAAGATACTTGGGACTTAATCACTAAGAGGAAGTTACAACCATTGTTCGCTATATCCTCGGATAAACATTTGCAGAAAAGAATACCCAGATCATTCCCGACTCAGCAAATGTCTGAAACTGAACAAAGTAATCCAATTTTTCACAGTAACATTTTACAAGTAACAGAAGATGTCCAAAATACAGGGAAAACTGGCATTCTCAAGGACACCAATTCTAAATATGACAAGGCATCTAAAGAGGGGACTGTCAAGCACTTGGTCATTATATACTAGAATTGTAGTCTTTGAGTAAACTATCTTACATTTAAAAAATTAAATAACTGCCTAAGAGAGGCATTTAAATTGTAGATAACATTTAACTCTAAGAATAAAACAAGAAGACACGAATAAACGACCAGTGCTACTAAACACAAATGCCTATTTGACTTTTATGCTGATGCATTTCTCTACTCCTTCAGGTCAATCCTGCAAGAGAATAAATTGTAAGAGTGAACAAATATCTAAGTGATGGCAAACACTTAAACATGGACTACTGTGGTTAGGACTAACGACGGCATGAAGTTTAAATAACGAGATGTTGAATTATACGATCAAAGAATACAATTCCCTAGAAGACAAAGTAATCTAAAACACCTGCCAATTACTGCCAAGGAAAGTTAGTAGAACTTGAACGTAAACTTTTGGTGTATACTGAATTAACGTTAAGAAACGGCTCTCAAAAAAAAAAAAAAAAAGAAAGAAAGAAAAAAGAAACAGCTCTCAGATTGCACATATGATATGAACTAAAATATTACTCAGTTCCAAGTGGCAAAAAACAGAACATTGTATTTTCTTCACATTTTATCATGCATTTTTTCCAGTTTAACCTAGGTTACGAAAGAAAACCATATTTGAGCGGTTTGTCTGCAGAGAGTACCAAACAGCTAGGAAAAACAGACTAAGGACAGAATCTCGAACATTATACAACCATACCCTTCCGTGACCTGCTTTCTTCTTTTGTCTCCTTCAATAAACTAAAGTCCTTCTATCATGATTGAACTGACGCAGCCTCATTTCCTAGAAAAGAATGTGAAAGAAGAATCCTAAGGAATTATAAGAAGAATGGCTAAGGAAATATACTACACAGAATTGCTCAGTGGCACTGATTCATTCCAGCGTCTACAAATTCAGTAACTTGTCACAGGAAATTGCAAATTTTTAAAAAGCTAATGACTTGTTGTTTTTCATGAGTTACAGGAAGTGTGCCAGTGTAAAGTGAAGCTTCACTTTGCTTCTGTATCAACCTTCATATATCCAGAGGAGTACCACACAAAACCAACCAGAAAACCAAATGCACAAAACCAACCAGAAAACCAAATGCCCTCAAGCACCTTTGGCTGTAGGGTGATACAACTCTTCCCGGAGTCGTGTGAGACCCATTTAACTTGATGAAGGTCTCATCTGCAAGGGAGAGGCTCACAGAGTTAAGACAAAGAAAGCACTGCGTGAGGACGATCGACACTGACGCTAGTCAAAGGGACCTCCTTAAGATTTATTCCACATATTCTTTTGATTTTATTATCATCATCACTGTTCCCAGAAAACATGTGCACTTCTTAAAAACTGAGTGTCACCAAAGGTGGTACTCTCTTCAATCCTGTTTGCCTTCGCGCCACTGCCGTGAGCCTTCATTCCACGCCACGTAGAGGAAGAGAGCCAGGACCACGTGGACGGCCACCACAGCCACAATGGCGGCGTAAAAGTAGCTGTCCCGGTTGGACATGCCCAAGGCACCTACGAAAGAAAAGGTTGCCATCTTACTCCAAATCTTACCAAAATACAAAGTCCAAAGCCTTCCATCAGCTATGCATTGACCTGGCCAGGAGCTTGGGTAGCGGTAGTGTGTGCCATCCAGTCGGAACCGACTCATAGCTGACCCTCCAGAGGGTTTTCAAAGACAGTAAATGGGAGATGACTGCCTAGCTTTCTCCTGGGGAGCAGCTGGTGGATTTGAACCATGTGCTTTTGGGTTGACAGCTCATTGCCTTACCACTAGGCTAATGGTTTGCAATTTGGCTGCTAACCTGGAAGGCAGGGGGTCTGGACTCATGCAGTCAACAGAGACCTGACGATGCGTTTCCTTAAAGCTTGTGGAGCCGTCCTACTCAGTCCCGCAGACTAGCAGCAGCTAACAGCAGGCAGCATGCAGTGAAAAGGCAGGGCTTGTGAGTGATGCTTCAGCCAGTACCTACTCAAAGATGCAACTTCTACATAACAACAGCAGCAGTTTGAAAGAAAAGTCTAATCATGGCTTTGACATCGAAATATTCTCCCGCTTCCAGTGTGCCACCAGAGGAACCTGTTATTGTTATTAGCCGCTGTTTGCTCATAGTGGCCCCACTTATAACAGGACAAAACTGAGGCCCAGTCCCGCGCCAGTTCTATGACCCACAGGCTGACCTCTGGAAGGAGGGCACCACACCTTTCCTTATAGTCTGACTTGGCCTGGAAGCTGTCCACGAGCCTCCACTAACAGGTGCATGGAGGCTGGGTACACAGTATGCCGACCAGGTCTCCCACGTGGAGAGAGGACAAAAGTTCTACACACTGTCCCCACCGAAAGAGCACCTCCCATGCCAGCACACCCCTGCTCTCAAGGGGATCCCTAAAGAAAGGATTTGCAAGCATTTCCACAGAAAACTATAAACAAATAAGATACTCAGCTGAAAGAACTGTGATGAAAAAGTACATTTCCCAAGACACTGTGGGCCACATTTCTAAGGAAACAAAAGCAACTCAAAGAACCAAAACTGACTAGGTAGTCTGTAGACAAAAATATAACGGCACCAGATTGTAAGTATCCAGAGCGAAAAATGTCTAATGTTAGGGGTCTGGAATTACCTTCAAACACATAGGACTTGGTCGTGAAATATAACCCAATGGGAACCGTGATCATCAAGGCCGTGAAGAACAGGAGTGTCTTCAAGGTGGATGCTAATGTACTTTCACTCCTAGAAAAAAATGAGATATACAAAGTCAGTACCTGCAGAGACATCCCTAAGCGTTCCTGTGTGGTCCTACTCCACACGGTGACAGACAACAAGTGGCATGAGCAGATCCTGACCACCCCGTTGGGATTTCACCATTACTGCCACCTCCAAGAAACTGTCACTAAGATCCAGTGAGCGAATGAGTAAGAGAGAAGCTTCTACTCTCCAAAGTGGTACATAAAGGGACCAACTACAGTCACAAAACCTCCAGCCCCAGGGGAGACAGGGAGAACACACAGAAAACTAGAAGTGAACAAAGCAATACAAGCAAGCTGGTGAATGCAGGGCCAACAAAGTGTAAGGACCTGCAAAGAAAGAGAATAATCCAGGCACAGCAGCAGAACAGCAAACTGGCTCTTGTTGCTGTGTGCCATCAAACGGGAATGGACCCGCAGCTGATCCTTTAGCACGTTTTCAGATGCCGTAAATCGCAGGGGAGAAGATGATGCATCTTTCTCCTGCCAAGCAGCAGGTGGATTCAAATCACATATCTTTTGGTTGGCAGCAGATTGTTGTTGTTTTTATGTGTTGTCAAGTCGCCTGCGACTCATAGCGACACTATGTACAACAGACCCATACTCTGCTCTATCCTGTGCCAATCTCAGTGTCACCTACCCCACTGCTCCAGTCACTGCATCAATCCATCTCATCCAGGGTCTTCCTCTCCTGCACTGTCCCTCCACCGTTCTAAGCATGATGGCCCTTTCCAAGGACTGGTCCCTCCTTGCAACATGTCCAGTGTATGTCAGACAAAGCTTCAGAATCCTTGCCTCCAAGGACCAACCTGGTCTCACCCTTTCTAGGATGAACCTGTTAGTTTTCTTAGCAGTCCATGGTATATTCAATACTCTTCTCCAGCACCACAGCTCAAAGGCATCAATTCTCTTTCTAGCATCCCTAGTCACTGTCCAGCTCTCTGATACATAGCAAAAAATTCCAAAGCCTGTATCAGGAGCACCTGAGTCTCCAGACAGACATCGTTGCTCTTCAGTACTTTAGAGAGATCTCTGACAGCAGAATTTCTCAATGCAGTTAGTCTTTTAATTTCCTGGCTGCTGAAAATAAAGCCCCTTTTACTAATTTTCAAAATTTTCATTATGTTGGTTTTATTGACTCCTCAACAAGCAACTATCCCTACATTACTGAAGACAAAGCTGTCAGAAACAGACACTAACCTCAGACATAGAGCTGCCTGCCTCATAAATTCTAAAAGCAGCAAGCCCTAGATTTTAAGTTCCTTTCTAAAAAAGCCAGCAGGGTGTACTTTAACACACTTCTGTCTCCACATAGACAACACTTGAACTTAATGTAAATTTTACAAAAATGAGAATTAAACTTTTTTAAAACTGTATACAATTTTCATAAGCACATATTCTCAGTTTTTTAAAATGTTACCAAATTCAATTCCATTTCACTTTTCCCCCTGCCCAACAGATTAAATGTTACTGTTGCTATGTGTTGTTGTGTCGCCTGTGACCCATAGTGACCCTATGTACAGCAGCTCAGAACCCTTCCCTGTCTTAACCCAACCTCACTGATTCTGACACAACTCCTCCATTCCTCCAGTCACCATATCGATCCATCTCATCCTGGGTCTCCCTGTTCATCCTTCAGAGCATGATGTCCTTCTCCCGGCCACGTGCCCAAAGTCAGTGAGGCAGAGCTTCAAAATCCTAGCCTCCAAGGAGAGACTTGGTTTCACCCTCTCTAAGACAGACCTATTTGTTTTCATGGTGGTCTACGGTATGTTCAAGACTCTTCTCCAGCACCACAACGCAAAGACATCGATTCTTCTTCTGTCATCCTTGGTAAAACTGATCTCATAGAAACTTCAAGTCAGTTCTCTGCAAATGGGATGCCAAGTCAAACCCAAATGTATGAATGCACAAAGAGCTAGAGTTTAATAAGAAAGTATCCCAAGTCTAAAGCTTTGGTACGCTATTTATATTTTATTGCTTCCATAAGTTTTAAACCAAAACAATCATTTTTTATAATCAGTATTTCTGAAATCAACAAATAAAAGCTACCAGAAAAAAAACTGAATTTCCATTTTCAAATAGTCCACTTTATTCATTATCACCATCATGCAACTCCTATTGTTACGTGCCATCGAGTTTAGTACAAAAAAGTACGCAAGGTTCTAGGAGAGACTGCAAAATTCAAACGTCGATGTGCAAAGAATAAGGATCTTGGTGCATGCTCTCAAGCATCTGACTAAAGTGACTCTTCATAACTGAGTAATGACAGTGGAGTTAATAAAACCAGGATTCGAATACAAAATAAACAGACTTAATATGCATGAATTCTAACTATCTCTGACTCAATGATTTCAGTGGAGCTTCCAGACTAAGATGGATTAAGTAGGACTGGACATCCACTTTGGAAATAACAGGCCTTCAAAAACCCTCTAACAGTTTGCCTGATTCAAGCCACAGTCTTCTGGACAATGAATAAGGATGACAGAAGAACTGACGCCTTTGAACTGTGGCGTTGGAGAAGCCAAAAGAACAAACAGGTCTGGGAAGAAGTGCAAGCGGGGGCTCCTTAGAAGTAATAATGGGGCAATTTCATCTCACACACTCTGGGTATGTAGTCAAGAGGGGATAGTCCTTGGAGAAAGACTTCCTGCAGAGAAAGATGAAGGGTCAGGGACAGGAAGGAAGAACCCCAAACAAAGAGAATGACTGACCCTGGACTTTTGAGTGTACAGAGGCAGTGAGGACAGGGCTATAAGGCAAGAGTCACATCTACTGTCCACAGGGTCGCTATGAGTCCTGGTCGACTTGAAGGCATCTAACAAGCAACAACGAGAGAGCACTCTCTCTCCCAGGGAGTGCTGCCCATTACTCTGCTCCCACAGCAACACCAGACCAGCATTATAAAATCTTGGTATCCAGCAAACTGGGAGGTTCCTGGCAGCCCAGAAAGGGAAGTGTCCCATCTTTCGTCAGTGATCTCCAAGCATCCTGACATGGGGAAAAGTTTTAATCCATCAGTAAAGAAGAAAAAAACTTAGTAATATCTCCACATCCACAATATGATATGCGAGATACAAAGTTCTACTTCATGTGCTCTGGTGGCCTAGTGGTTAAAAAGCTGCACTGCAATCCCAAAAGCACGCAGTTCTAATCCACCACCATGGCAAAAGGATGGGCATTTTCCTCCCGTGCCATTTATTGCCTCTGAATATACTGCTGATGGTCACCTATGGGTTGGTTCCAACATCATGATAAGATCGTTCATCCAAAACAGTTCTGTTTCAACTAAAAGGAGGCAGAGCATTCCACAGGAATCACATCTTTGTCCTTGGTATTTAGACCTGCGTTTTCCTCTGAGAATGTGTTGCTCTCCAAAGGTCTGCCGCAGCCCTTCCTCCTGTGCTAATGTTTCAGGAGGTTTCAGGAGCTAATGGTGGAGACTGGACCACAGGCAGGACCCCATGGAGCAAAGCCACACACACGGCGCACAGACGGGCTGCCAGCTGCCATCTTTGCGCAGACACACCTTTTCCTACTCGAATCTGGCGCAACGCAACGCATACGCAGCCCCTGGTAATGACAGCAATTACTAAACATTCTGTGCCCCCATATTCCATACAGGAAAGAGGTGGACCTGGGAATGGGATCAGCAATGAGCCCAGACTGTGCCACAACCTTGGCCCTCGCCAGTGTTGAGCTGTCCTCCAGGACCACCAAGGTACCACCGTCTACCTTGATCCTCCTTGCCACCTTCCCAGGCTCTCCCATTCACCCCCACACTTCCATTACACACACGCTCGGCCACCTGTAGGCACTTGCTGCTGGCACTCATCTCTTCCCTCCCTGCCAGCCTTCCCCATCCCAGAAATAGGCTTTCTTCCCTCTCAGCCCCACCCACCCTCTTCTCTCTGCACTCCCCCCACCTCTACAGCTTGGCCTGGCACAAAAGGCAGCATCCAGCAGGGCAGCAGGCCAGGGAAACACTGCCCACATAGTCCAAGCTCAGGGGAACAAGCAGCCGCACACAACTGCTAGAACCCCCTGCATCCATCAGCCACTAGAAAGCTGGGGAGAAAGCTAGTGAAGCACAAGATGTGCAGTACTGGGAGATTCAGTCCGAGATACTCTGTTCTGATAGGGATGTCTGAATTTTATTATAACCTTGCTGTCCTTACGTGCCATCAAGCTGGCATGCATAGCTGATCTTCCAGCACGTTTTCCGGGGCAATAAATCACAGGGGCGAAGACTGATCATCTTTCTCCCTAGAGCAGCTAGTGGCTTCGAACTGCAAACTTTTGGAATTACAGTGCAACTTCTTACCATTAAGCCCCTTTTATGACATTAAGGGCTGGATATTATGTGAGGCATACAAGCATAAATAACTAAGTCTGTTGCCATCCAGATTGTAGCCCATAACAGCCAGGCAAAACCCAGTATGACCACTTCTTTGATGGACCACCCAACAAAGTGCATGCCCTTTTGCTTCATAAGCTTAAGGGAAAACTGAACATCCCATGGACTGCCACAAGAACAAACAGGTCTGTCTTGGAGGAAGTATGAAGTCATTTCTACTGAAGATCTATTACCTCTTGACTTTTTGCATAATGGTTTATTCTTATTATTGAAAAGATATTATAGCATGTAATTTATTTTTAAGTAAACAGAAAGCCAATCCTACTTTTAAAAGACCACATTTTTCTTTTCTGTATGTTCTATATTTCTACCTCCTCTCCCCACACACACACTGAGGATATAATATCAATTTGTATCCTATCTTCTTTCAATTGCTGCTCACCTATGTCTAAGTTTCAAAGCAGCTGACCATTTTTGTGGGTTGTGACTGTTGTGTGCTGTCAAGTCAATCCTAACCCTATGAGACAGAACAGAATTGTTCGATAGGGTTTCCCAGGTGGTGATATTTACAGATGGAGCGCTGGTGGAGCAGCGGACAAGCACCTGGCTACTAACAAAAATACTGGCCAATTCAAACCCACAGGATGGGCCAAAGAGAAAGATGTGGGCAGCTGCTTGCATAAAGATGACACTAGGAAATTTTAAGGAGCACACAGTGATAAGTGTTTATGGGAGCAGGTCTCTAGATCTGTTCTCTCTTTGGTCCACTAGTAGGTCTGAACCACTGACCTTCCCGTTAGCACCCACTCATGGTGCCAGCAGGCATCCTTCATTTCTCTGGGTTATAACCTTGCAAATATGGGATCACATATAAAGGCCAACCTGATTGTACAAAGTTTTGAAACCTAGGAAATGTCCTGTAGCTTTTGTAGAACTTCTCATTCCTTTGCAGTTCTAACCCACTGCTGTCAGTGGTTCTGCAGCCACAAGGCAGGCTGGGCAGGACTGGTGATTTAGTCCAGAACAGAGCAAACGATGCCATGCAACTTATTTCATCTGTGTATGTGATTCAGTGTTACTGAGATTTGTTATGAGGACAGGTAAAGGCCAGAATCAAGGCTGGTCTCACCCAAAGGTCAGAATGCAGATTGAGGCTTCTGGTGCCAAACAATGCCACAAAGAGTTCTGCTTCACTTCAATTGATGCAGCAAACACTGCGCAGAGAACGTACACCTTGTTCCCTTTTTGGCAAGTAAGGAATGTGAAAGGAACACTTTCTTCCACTGCAAAGTCAATCTGGAAACACTATTACTCTGCACGATAAAGAAATTGGTTGGTACAGTCACACTTAAGCAGTGAGAGGAATATGAGAGGAATACTTAGATTGGCATTGTGAGATGTGAAAGGGTGCCAGGACTCCAAACCACTGGCTTTGAATCGAGGTCCCTAACCAAACGCCAGCTTCACCACTTACAAACGTGTGGCTTAACTCTCTCTGTGATCTTGGGCAAGCTACTTATCCTGAGTCTCAATGTCATCACCTTCAAAACGGGGAAATGAAGCAGTTTCTTGACTCAGAGGATGTCTTAAAGCCTGGCATCCGGGAAGCGTCCTAGCCATGAGGACTAGCCCCCTCCCCACTCCCTGGTCTGTCGGCTCCCCCATCAGACTCCTGTGAGCCCCTAGCCTACGAGGTCCCAGGGGTATCCAACTCCACCAGAGGGCCCGACTCCCTCCCGTCTGTGCGTTCTTCGACAGCCAGCAGGCAGCTCTCGCGGGCGGGAAAGACCCCGCAGGGGAGCCGAAGGGGAAGCAGGCCGAGTTCCAGTCCTGCGGGGCTCTCCTGGGAGGGGACACACACGTGAAAGCCGGCCCAGCCGGCTCTCCTTCGGGCCCCCGGCCGCTCCCCCGGGGCCCCAGCCGCGCCGGATACCTGAATTCGGGCTGCTGCAGGGCGTTCAGCGCCGCTTTGTCCGAGCGCTCCATGGCAACGCCACGCCAAACAGCAGGCAGAGCGGCGCACAGAGAGTCTCGCTCGGGACACTTGAACGACAGGCCGGCTGGCCGGAAGTGGCTGCGGGGCTAGCGCGCAGGCGCGGCGCGGCGAGTGACGCAGGGCGCGCGGCGCTCACGTGACTTACCGGCTGGGGCGGCGCGGCGCGCGGATCTCCCTGCGCTCGAGGAACTGGCCGGGCGAGCGACCCAGCCACACCACGTTGAGTCGCGCCTTGCCGCGCAGCATGGTCCCCAAGGGCGGCCGGCCTTGTCCCCGGCGCCGGCCCCCACCGTCCTGGCCGCTTTCTGAGCTGTCGCTGGAAGGTGACCAGAACCGAGGCGTGTGGAAGGACAGCCAAACGGACGATCCAGGTGCTAGGCAACTAGGCAGTTATGACTAGAGCGACAACACACACACACACACACACACACACACACACACACAAGAAATGCACGTTATTCCCCCAGTCTTTGAGCCAAGGCTCTCTAATCATTAATAACCCAGCATGGTAGTCCAGCCACGGGAAGCGGGGAGGAGTTAGAGAAACTCACCCTCGTTCTTAAAACTCCAGCTCAGCCACTCAAAAAGCCCTTGCGGAGAGTGACTGTTCAGCCTGATGGCGGTGACTCCAAATTCGACACAAAGTTACAAACATTTTGCAGCTGCTCAGAAAGCCACCAATGACACAACAGGAACTCAAATAGTAAGGACAGATGGGCCTGCCGGGCTTGGCAACCAGAGAGATGTCTAAACAAAAAGGGTGTGGAAGCCTCCGGTCAGGCTTGACAAAATTAGGTTGCCCCTGGCTGCAGAAGCCATCCTTACATGGTCAACGCCTGGACAGGGCAGCTGACTACATCGCTGGTTTCTGGGCTACAAGGACACAAAGCCCACGTTTGAAATCGTAAGGAAATCAGCAGCTTAAAACAGTAGGAAGGGCGCGGATTGGGCAGCAAAGAAGCCTGGATGTTAGTCCAAACTTCAGTACCAGAGGCGATGGATGAGAACTCCCTGATGTTACAGCCAGGGCAGAACTAGATCTAATCTTGTTCTGAGGTCAGCAAATTGTGGTGAGCAGGCCCTGCACAAAACGCCTGCTAGCCAGTTTCTGTAGAGCGCCTAAGCTAAGAATGGCTTTTAGGTTTTTAAATGGTTGTAGATAGCAGGGACCATATGGTCTACAAAGCTTAAAATATTTACTATCAGGCCCTTTACAGGGAAAGTCCATTGATCCCTCCTCTAGCCAATCCCCTCTCACCGAGGGCCTGGAAGCCCTAGAAATCCATTCCTGTATGGAGATTCTGAGAACGATTTTTAGTACTTTTAAAAACCGAATCACTTGAAAGTATTTGCTGGCAATAGAGTAACAAGAGCTATACTATCACCTTTTTTGGAGGGGGGCACTAATTATATCACACTGATGAAATAAGCTTGTTTATCTCATGAGAAAATGCAAATTATCATTGAACTAAAATAAAATAATCGGTATGCAGAACAGATCGTTCAAGAGGCTGGACTTTATGAGGAGGAATGTGGCATCAGGATTGGAGGAAGACTCAACAACCTGTGTTATGCAGATGACACAGCCTTATTTACTGAAACTGAGGAGGGCCTGAAGCCTTTGTTGCAGAGGGTCAAGGACTATAGTCCTCAATATGGATTGAAACTCAACATCAAGAAAACAAAGATTCTCACCGCTGGGCCAATTGGCAGCACCATCCATTATGGATGAAGAGATTGAGGTTGTTAGCAGGTTCAGCTTGTTTGGTTGCACAATCAACACTCTTGGCACCAGCAGTGAGAAAATCAAAAGATTAATTGCACTGGGAAAATCTGCTGTCAGGGACCTCACAGTACTGAAGAGCAATGATATCAGTCTAGAGACTAAGGTGTGCCTAATCCAGGCCATGGTCTTCGCAATTACTTGCTATGCATCAGAAAGCTGGACAATGACTAAGGAGGACAGAAAAAGAATTGATGCCTTTGAGTTGTGGTGCTGGAGAAGAGTCTTGAACATACCATGGACTGCCAAGAGAACTAACAGACATGTCCAGGAGAGGGTGAAACCATGCTGCTCCTTGCAAGGATCCTCCAGGCAAGGATTTTGAGACTCCATCTCACATACTTTGGGCATGCAGCCAGGAGAGATCAGTTTTTGGAGAAGGATATCACTCTTGAAAGAGTCGAGGGACAGTGCAGGAGAGGAAGACCCCAGATGATTGACACAATAAATGACATAGTTGAGCCTCTACATCTTGTGGTTCCTAACCTTTGTACTATAATAGACAAAGTGCTAGTCAATAAGCCTTTTCTTTTAAGAACTACCTTCCCTCTGTAACTTGATTTGTGCCACTGTTAGAACCTCTACT